GGGGGGGGGAAGGGAGGGATGGTAGGTGCTTGTGTTTCCAGAAATTGTTTCCTTAACCAATTGCATCCTACATGCAGGAAGGATTGTCACCCAATCACTTGAAAAAAGCAAAGCTCATGTTCTTTTACACCCGTTATCCCAGCTCCAACATGCTGAAAACCTACTTCTCTGATGTAAAGGTAAGGACATATTTCATTATTAATGTTTTCAATTTCTGTGCATGAGGTAGTGATTTGAACTCTTGGAAGTTAATGGAGATGAGTGTGGAGTTGGTTGGTGAATACACCTATGTTGTAATTGATTTAATGCATTTGTCCTTTGGTCTAAGGCTTTGCCAAGCAAAGAGGAGGCTCCTTGTGTGTTAAGACCAAAGGACTGGGCGCACAGATTTTCATTCTAGTCCGGGAAACTTAACCTCGGTCTTTATATGTCTTAACTCCTTGGAAGAAATTTCAGTTGGTCCTGGAGGGATGTGCTTTAGAGAATTTTATTTTCCTCCCCTCAGCCACAGTAAACTGTTTCTGTTTTTGTTTCTGTTAGTTTCCCCATATTTGTGCTTAGGAAAGCAAACACTAGCACCTCTTTTTCCCCCTGTCGAAAGGAGCGTACATTGAAATTCTCTCTGCAGTAGCTGCTTAAAAACAAAAGTGATGATTGTCTCTTATTTACAACTTAATTTGTTGTTGATGTAGAGTACACTGAGCATAAGGAGAATGAATAAAGTGACAGATTCAGGACACATTATTCAAATGAGGATATGAAAGCTGTCGGCCTACAGCTGCAGCCTCCCTCATTCTACAGAATATGGGGACCTCCTGGTTCTGTGTGTGTGTGTGTGTGTGTGTGTGTGTGTGTGTGTGTGTGTGTGTGCGTCTGTGTCTATGTGTGGGTTTTAAGTAATTGTTTGCAACAACTTGATGTTGTGTTAATCATCTGTAACTTTTTAAAACATAGATTGGGTTTTGATGATGATAATGACACACATGGTATCATTATCCAACGAACTCGATAAACATTACATTAGCCGAGATTACTTTATTAAGGCTGGGTGCTCTTCCCCCCACCCTCTCCTGCCCACCCCCGTGTGTACAAGTTCTTATTTCTGCCACGGAGAACCCACGGGCTGCCAAAATGTGCTCCTTCCTCCGCGACTCCCCTCTCTCTGCAGTGGGTTTTGTGCCCAATGTCTGAGTGGCTTCATTGGCCCCTTTCGCAGGCCGACCCGTTTCAGTCTTGCCTTCAC